TAAATTATAGAGTGAGAAGCATATAGCATAGAATTATGTTAAAAAGGCAAGCATTTAGAAGATTCAAAACAAGCAGACAGATGTCTTTAGAGTACTGTAGTAGACACAAGGCTTCTAGGAATTTCAGCTACTTTGTATATGTTTAAAGTAGAAATTGCAAGGAAAAGTGATTCAACTGTTGTGATGTAAAACAAATCTCATGGAAGCACCTCAATAAAACTACCAGGCTTGTAATTCTTATTGAATACTCTCCAAATGTATAGCTAGAGTGGCTTTAAGGACTACTGACAGAAAGTCACTGAAGAACTACTTACAGATCCTATAGCAAATTATATCAGTGGCCACAGGGAGCTCCTAATTCAACATGACCTTGTATGACAGCTTTTTTATGGAAGAACCCTGTCACCTCTCATGGAACTATTGTTTTACAACAACAAACTGTAGGGAAAGCTTACTAAAAAGCCATTCAAAGAATGCAACAGAGATGTCAAGTTAATTCTGAACAGCAGACAGCTTAATTGTCCAAGTAGTAAGTTTGCAGAGCACTAGTAAGCCTTTGATGACAAACAATTGATTGCGGCCAACTGAAGACAAAGCTGCAGTGTAGAAATTAAAGGGACAAAAGTTTCCTAGCAAAAGCAAAATTATTTGGGAAGATAAAAGCACTGATACTCTAGAGTTAAACATTCAGGTAGTCAAATATGTTTGACAGAGGAACTGAATTCACACATTCTGTCAACTGCAAAAAGCCAGTAGAGAGACAGGTAGTACTCTCTACACTCACTATGTGTCCTCTCCAAGAAAAGCATGATTCTTTCTTTCAATGAAGAGGTACGTTCAAGTCTTGTCTCCATAAAAAGTTAAGCTTGCTAATTACTTGCTCTGTACAGAATTGCTTTCATATATGACTTGTGTAATCAAAACCAATAAACAAAAAACCCCTCTATGTAGTTACTTCAGGTGGTGGTTCTTGGTCATTCTTCCAAGATGCATCTGAACCTTTTTCCCTGGAAGAAAAGAAACAAACACAAAATGCAAATTAGACAATCCAGATAAAGGAAGGGTAGCACTTTCTATAAGGTATCAGGTCTCCTAGAACAAGAGCTTCCTCTTTTCAAAGAGTTACTTCGCTGTTAATATTCTTTATAAGCAAACAGTAACGTATAGGCCAACTTAGGGCTTCACTACTCTTGAAAAATCTTCCCACTTCAAGTGAATACTGAACATCTCAATCACATTTCCTAACACTAAGTTTTGGTCAATATTCTCTAAACAAATCCTTTTGAACCCTAATTGCTTTGAACCTGAACTAAGGTAGTTCACTGCAAGTTTCTTATGCTAACTGTTGACTACAATCAGAAGCATTTTTATTCTTCTGGTTTCAGAACATGTATCTGTCACCCTGATTCTTAAGATTTTCTAAAGCCTTCTGAGTTTACATTTTGTTAGAAAACTTTCCCACACATTTTCTATAAACAACATATTGTTTTGCATTCCTTTGTGGGGGTGGAGGAAGTTGATGTACTGGTGGTTTGTCCAATGTCTTTGGAGAGGTGGCCCATTCACTCTCCAATCCACTGTCACCTTTGGAAAAGTATAAAAGTTGGAGTCAGAAAATAAACCTTCTTTTTTTTTACTTTGCCATCACAGTGGCTCGTGTTGTGCTTTCTTGTGTCCTATAGCGACATATCTTCAGTTATAATGAACCTACTCATTCAGTAGGACATACAAACTCATTCAATAGGACACAGGCTTTCAGTGTAACTACAGCAAAGTAAATTCAGAACCAAAAGACCCTCGGTGCTTGGCTTACAATCTTATTATGACAGTGTTAGCTAGATAACTAGGTTTCACCATTTGTTTTGTTGTAAACATAACTTTGCAAGGCAAAAGGCATTTCAAGAAGCAAAAACTCAATTGTCTTGCCTGACAAGCACCAAAATAAATTTGGATTAGTCTAATTTATTTAATCCACTACAAAGTCCTTCACTAAAGATCAAGTAATTTTTTTATTAGCAAAGAACTTGTGAAACATATTTAAATTACATTGTCAGTAGTCTGTTGAAGGTTTTTTCCATACTGCTCTCAAATTGTATGGGTTTTGGTCTGATATGTCAAGGTACAATCTTTAGCTATGCAGAAAAACTGTGGAAAACAATGCAATACTGAAAATTCTTACCTCCAAAATGGAACTACACAGTTAAAAACATTTATGTGTTCAATGTGAAATGCCTTCAGTCATTGCTCTAACAACCAGAAGTTTTTTATGTATTCATCAATTCAACAAGAATCAAGTAGTAGTAACTACAAAAAACTACATAACTACAGCCTGCACTTCAGAGGTGCTTAGTCACAGAGAGCACTGGCAAGTCATCTGGAGGTACATCATGCCTCAATTCCTAACTATAAAACTGAAATTCAACCTCTACATGTCCTTTTGAGATTAAGAGTAAAAAGAAAGGTAAGGAAGACATATTTAAATTCAATTAGAAGAAAACATTACAGGGCAGAACATAAGGACTCTATAAAATTTATTTCTCAGCTGCAGAAAACTTATTTTATTATTACGAACTGCACTGTTTCTTCCTTTCATCTTGTTATTTTGGAGCACACATGCCTGCCAGAAATACCAGAGCTCAAAAGAACTGCCAAGACCTACAGTCATTCAGCAATATGTAACATCACTGACTACAAACTATACACAATTCAAGGTCAGGCAGTTTATCTCACTGTCCTAAAGCAGCCTTCCCCATTTCAGCAAACAAAAACTGCTTTCCATGCTCTGAAGTATTTAAGATCTTCTGCAAAGAATAATATAGTAATTCTTTTGACTTGTGAAGTTACATACTGTAAGACCTTGAAGTCTAACAAAGGCAATTCAGAGAAATCATGAAAATACATGAGCTTTTTTAGAACTGGGTTTCAGGCAATACAACACACATCTTTAGCAACAAATTATTTTGCATTCAAAATGTTTTACACTACACTTTCACTTATTTTTCTATAAAGTGTAAGGCTTATTCATAGCACTGTAACTGTGTACAATGCAAGCAGATTGCATTTCAGATTTCAGAAAAAAATTCAAACTCGGTGTTTCTTTCAGATCTTAATCTTGATTCCCTTCCTTTTCAAAGAACCATCACAGTTTTGAAAACCAGTTTTTAAATTTTAAGCCTGTAGTACTCCACAATCTGGTCAGTACACAGTCAAACTAAGAAAAAGCAGAAAATAAAAATTATTGCTTATCAAATTTGCTACCTACTAAGGTGCAAAAATCTTCCAGTGTACCACTGACCAAAGCTTGACTTTTCTACTATTCATGTCACATTCTTACAGTATTGAAGTGTCTTCATAGCATTACAGCATAATTCAAAAACCAGAAATTCTTCATCCATTTTTAATAAAGCCTATTTCGTGAAAAAGTAGCTTCACTCAAAAGCACCAAATGCTGCACACAAACTTAAGATATTGTTTTAGTGTACTCTAACTTAAAACTTATTGTTTTAGTGTACTCTAACTTAAGTCATACCACTCATCCTAATCAAGACAAGAAACAATGTCTGAAGCGCTGTTCAGCTGCACTGGAAGCCATGGAAGTCTCACGTATCTTACCCAGGTTTCAGGTTTTTACCACCTATGACAGTGAAGTACTACCAAATGAAAAATTGGTAGTACTTTCCAAAGCATGAAACAAAGTAAAACACAAGTCTCCCATCTCAGATGCTGAGTACAGCACACAGTTATTGACGCAGCAAGCAGATGATTAAAGTCTGTGCACTTTACTGCGCTAAGCAACAAAGTTTAATAACGCACATCAAAGACCAGCTGGCATCAAAATGCTGCAGAAAAACAAACAAGCATCAGAGCAAGAAAGTGATCTATTTTGGTCCTCACTGAAGGGAAGAAAATATGCTTATTGCTTGCACAGAAATGAAGAAGTTAAAAAAAATACTCCTGCAGGTCTGACTAAAGAAAAGAACTGTTGAGTATGGATACTGGCACAGCTGTAATGAATGCAGACAATTAGCCAACCCCTGAGAACTAATCCTAATAAACAGAAACTTGTATGACAAAAGATGTCTAACCTACAGTTATTTCAGATGATTGCTCATCAATAATTAGAACATTAATATCTAGCTGTCATTTATCATGTTTTATTTCTTAGTCTGTATATTTGAGTACACTTTCCTCTAAATGGCATCAAGTCCTAGTTATGCATGCTACTTTCCTCAGTCAGACTGGGATACATAAACACTGCTAAGCATCTGAACATCATACTACATTGTCACTGAAATCCCTCCTCTCTTGCAAATTTAGAGGGTAATTTTTATCTAGAATTGCTATCCTCCAATTGTGAAATAGATTTATTGATAATTACATTTCAATTCCAGCTTTATAATATGAAATAAAATAGTAAATTAATACAAACTTGTTCAGAATGCAAACAAGTTTAATATCAGTTCTGAAACTATACCAGAATCTAAAGAACAACAAAATCTGGAAAGTTCAGCTTGAGAAACTTCTTTAAACTCATGAATATGTGTGTCAGAGGGTATGGAGGAAGTATCAGTGAACTTTTCTGGTTGTGGTATTTTAGTTAACAGCAGCATAAAAAGAAAGCAAGCTTAGTATATTAAGTAGAATACGCTAAACTTTAGTAATTACAGCACTTTAAATGCTTGCAGTTTACAGCTACTCTTCATTGTTCTCAAAGGCAAAATAGCACAGTCTTGTTATCACAACATAGTCGAGAACATCTCATGGAAATATAAAGTGTTAAGCTTAGTTCTACAGTTTCTCACTGAAGACTCAACTTTAATCCAACATTTTTACCTATATTAAAAAAAAAACCATTATAACCAGATTACAACAGAAATCAGACTCACTGTTTTAGTTTTTCTGCAAATATATATTGGGTGAAGTCCTCTACTGATGGAGCAAAATACATGCTATCTTGCACATTAACACCTTTCTCTTTGATATGCTCAGAGTTGTTAAATCTTATCACATAAAAAGGATGTGAAACAGGACCAAATATCTCAAATATCTGAAAGAAATAAAATTAAAATGTTTAAGTAAACTACAAGTAGATTAGTAGTAGCTAATTTCATTGTAGACAATGATATTTAAGAAGTCCAAATTATTTTCTAAATGCAGCATCAAATAAAACTTCCTTTCACACTTTAGTTTCATTACCAAATTTTGTTCAAGTGTATTTCCGCAACTACTGTTTTTTATTACGTGGAACATTAAGTTCTCACATCCATAGTAATTCTTTCTTTTGTCAAACCTCTGTTTTTTGTGTCTGTTATGCTTTCAAGTCTCATAATGCTTGGGACAATCTCCTGATCACTTTTTCCTCCAAGTTCATCTTAACAAGATGCCTTTACAACAATTACTGCTTGTTCCCCAATTCCATGGAGAGCAGAGAATTCTGCCATGTTTGACAGAGCATCTGCAAAATTCAGGCTAAGTTTGTTCCACTCACATCTAGGATTTAAAGATATTTCAGTAGTACGCATTGTGGATGATGGCTTTCCTTCTACAGAAAATTCAGTACAACCCTCTCAGCAAACATTCTTCACTAGCCTTAAATCAGAACAGTAGAGCATAGAAGACAACATTGCTCATTTTTCATAGAACTTCACTCTAACCACTGCCCCTATCTGGCAGTAAAAGAGCACACAGCCTGTTATTCCAAGACATCATACATCTGAAAACAATCTCTTCCTCTCCACAAGCACTCTCAACAAACACTGGAAACTCACCACATACTGTAGTTCTGCAAGGATGCAATTAATTTCAAGTTAGGAATTCTTGGGATTAAATAAACAGATGAATATAGCAAAAGTCAAAGGCACTAAGAAAAACTATATATTAAGGAAGTATTATCTTTCATTTAATAGCCTGCAACTCTACTTTCTAGAACACTAAAGAGTATTTCCAATTTTATATTGGAATAACAAGTTTTTATTTTACACCCACCTTTCCTACTGCTTGCCGATCTTCTTTAAAAATTATGCTTTCCTCATTTACTGGAGGTAGGCCTCTCAGTGATTCAATTATTACTAAAATGGAAATAAAAAAATTAATTAGAACTTTATGTTTTAACAGCATGTAGTTTATTGTGGTAAAACTTAACAAACCACACCACTACTTGTCTACTTAAGTTTGTAGAGCTGCAACCAAATATTCTTGCACATGTGTAAAAGTACTTAGAATCACACACCCCCTCTCAATTATACATGAGTGGTAATGCTAATATTGGTTACAGAATTATTGTTCTCTGGGGTAAAGAGAGAAAGAGTCCTAAGAATCATACCAGAACACAAAACTGTCTGGCAGTTCAGTCACAGTAGCAACTGATGGTGTTTATATATGCATATACCCCATCTGTTAGGCATTCTGCAATTTAATGCCATAGAAGTCTCGTAGTACATTTGGGCCTAATGATGATTGAACTTCTCTACCTGAAAAACAACACAATGCTCAATTAAGCTTTCTCAATGACTGTCCATCAGCAAATAAAGTCACTCAAGTATACAGCATCACTCAGGCTCAAATAAAAGCTCAAGATCATCACTGCTAAACTTACATAAAAGGACTTTCAGCAATCAACATGTCACCAACCTAAAAGCTACTGCTACTAACGCAATCTGCAAAAAACTTAACGTGCCAAACAAGGAAATGACAATTCCACAGGCTTAACAGTTCACTGAATTTCAAGAGAATTTGTGAAATCAATTTCTCTTGTGCCTACCTTTAAGATAAAATATACAGTGTATGTAACCTTATGTGTTGTTCAAACCTCATGAGAAAAATACCTTAGCAAAAAAAAAGCAGACTAAATCCCCCAAACATCAACACAAAAAAACCCTACACAAAAACAACACCAAAACCTCAGATAATGTTCTCAACTTGATTCACCACATGCAGCTCCCAGCATGCAGCAGGCTGAGGAAAAGATACAACGCACCAGTCCAATGAAACTTAGGAGAAACACTACCACCTCCAGCCTGACTTACAGCTTCCCCTACCCCAAACCATCCTGAATTATCAGCTTCTACTCCTGCAGGGCCCAAAGCACAGGGAAAGTTTCTCATATCCAAAGCTGTTTACTCTCCAGGTCCCAACCCACACAGTGAATTTTTCTCTTCTCTTTAAGTACCTTGACGCAAGATACAGCACAAGTTTTGTTAAATTCTGATACATTGAGCAGAAGTTCATAGAAAATACTGTCATTTTGCTTTTAGCTACCGCACAGCAAGCATGAGCCTACACTGTTTTAACCTCAAATTTACCTCACAGGATGAAATATCCACTTAGAAGTATCACTCACTGCAAACTGATGAACTTGGACGTTTGCTACAGAGAACAGCAAGAAATTCTGAGGGACATCAAAGGGACAGAAAAAGAATACTCACTTATGTCAGAATAATATTGGTGGCTTCCAAATGAGGAATCAACTCGCCTCAGACTAGATACAAACTTGGTATACAGAGGTATCAATTTAGTTCAAAAATAAAAAAAAAATCCCCAATCAGCTGGCATCCCTAATATAACCACAAATCAAGTGAAATTGAGGGCTGTTTTCAGAAGAACTGAAAACAAACTAAAATGTGGAGAAAGAAAAGTTATAAAGCAAGGTAATAAAAGCAAGAAAATAATCCCAAATATCCTGGGAGTTTATCCCATTTATATGGTTTTATTTCACTATGATTATGAGCTTGTTTTCTAATTTTCACCAAAAAATTTAATGCAACACTTTATAGATGTACATTACATGAAGTAGGATGCAGCCTGGTAGGTGAAGAATTCGCCTACCAGTAAACTGGTATTTGAAAAGATTATACTCACCAGTAAGGATTAGAATTAAGGATGGTTTTCAAAACTGCAGTCTTTAAAATAGTTTTGTTTATACCTTCACATTTTAAACCAAAAGTAAGAATAATAGCAAGTATAATTCAACTTGTTTTTAAAACTTGGTTTGAAACTACCATTTTAGCTGAAAGCAACATTCTTGAAGTCCCCATTATTATCAATACGCAAGAAAGGACAAAGTAGAAAAGAACTAGATCACTACCTTCCACACCCTCCTTTTAGCTTCCTGTAAATGAATGAAATTAAACCTCACCACAATAAAATAGAGGACTTGCCTGTATTATCTTAAGTTTTTTAAAAGAAAAATTAATAGCAAAAGTTACTTACTTTCTTTTGTACTACATTCAGCATAAATACTGTAACTTCAAAATTGAACTTAATTTCTAATTTGCATAAGCAAATTGCTTGAAATGCAGTTCAAGCAGAATGAAACACTTGAAATAGCTTTAATACAAACATACTGTGAATGTTTTAGTAATATGAGCTTCAGCAAAATTTTGATTTCATTTATCAAATACTGAGGTCCCACACAGATCCAAAAAGATCCCTAAATCTCTATGCCTGTGGTTAAGTTTACATCCATTCAATATCTAAAGCTCACCCTCCACCTATAAATCATGTTAGTCACACCATCATCTGACTGCTGACAACGGGCAGCTCAAGGTACCAGAAGTGGAATGAATAAATATATAAAAAAATAAATAAATGAACTTCCACTGTTGAATAAACAAGTCTTTTACCTGTCCTCATATATTAACAAGCAAGCACTTGGGACTGCATTGTATTGTATCTGCGCTTTCAGTTATACAGCTCCTATATATTCAGGGATTATTCAAAAATAGCAACTACAACTGGAAGACTTTCTTAAAACACTTAAATACAATAACTGTGGCCAGTATCAATATAAAAGCCATAATACACAACAGAAATAAAGGTGTTTGAATTAAAAAATTAAACATGGAAGTCACACAGAAACACATGCATATAAGCCAAACAAAAGGTAATTGAACACAAATGCTAGTTAGAATTCCAATTCAGCAACCTGCTACCCCCAGAAATGGGATGCTGCAGGACTGACACTTTGAAGGACCAGCTAAGAACACAATTCATGCAGAGATATACAGAAATTATAATAATTAAGAACACAGCAAACATATCTTGCCTACCTAGCTGCTCAATCACGCTGGAAACTGTCCCAAAGAGTTTCAGTTCAACATTATCTGGAAGAATTATTGATAAGTCTTCAACAGGAGGCAGTTTCTGCAAACATCAAGTCAATGTTTACAATATAATATCACACAAAGGCACTTACCACTTTGTCACTGCATAAATTTGACAGTTTGGAAAAATCCCCTGGCATTTTTAAGATTTATTGTTAAAAAAACTAGTTTGATTTGCCTCTTTCAGAATCATCCTAAATGAACTCATCTTAGGGGACCACCACTTTTGAGAAAATCTCTCCTACAGAGACACTACTCTATATATTTCCATCACAACTATGGCAGAAGCCAGTTTTATTTAGCAGGAGAAAGCCAACAATTGACAGGCATTTCATTCACACGCCATGTACAACACAATAATCAGAAATCAAAAAATAAGACCACCTGCAACAACACTCAATGTATGCTAGAAGAAAAATGTACACAGCAATATAGCAATATAGCATAAAAAATGTACACAGCAATATAGCATAAAATGCACCAGATGTGTATCATCTGATTTACAAAATGGAGTCTGTCCATTTACATCATGGCTTGGATCACTATAAAAGATGTAAACATCACAACAACTTATACAAAGAATTATTTTTAGCTGAAAGCTGCATTTGGTACTAGACATCAGAGAGAACACAAAAACCCAAACTTCAGATATAATAATGAGTGCTACACAATATTCAAATAGGGTTTTTCCCATATAAGGATCAAAATTTACTTAGTTCACTGCTAAGACTTAACTGAGTCACTTTTATAACAGAACTGAAACACCAAAGACAAGCAGGAAGATAAAACTGTGATCCTGTATCTCAAAATACCTTCTGCCACATTATATACAGTATCTGCCAATCCTTGTTTCAAAGCAAGAGATTTCTGAAATGGTTCCACTAACACTCCTTAATACATATACCTGTAAAACACGATTTTTTATATTATTAACTGTGGTGGGTTTTACTGCAGAAAAGCCAATTTTCTTCACAGTGGCTGTTACAGGGTTGTGTTCTGGATCTGTGCTGGAAACATTGCTGACAATATAGAGATGTTTTCATTATTGCTGAGCAGGGCTTCCACACAGCCAGGGCTTTTTCTGCCTCCCATGCCACCCCACCAGTGAGGAGCTGCAAAAGGACTTGGGAGGGGCACAGCCAGGAGAGGTGACCTGCACAGACCAAAGGAACATTCTATACCATGTAACATCATGCTCAGCATACAAAGCTGGGTGAAAAAGGAGAATGAGGGACATTTCCAGTGATGCTGTTTGTGTGCCCAAGCAACAGTTACACATGATGAAGCCCAGCTTTCCTGGGGATGGCAGAACACCTGCCTGTCCATGGAAAGTGGTAAATTAATTTCTGGGTTCTCTTTGCTTGTGTGGGTGGCTTTTGTTTTACCTACTAAACTGTGTCTAGTTCAGCCTTGGATTTTCTCTTTTACTATTCTGATTCTATCCCCATCTTGACACAGGAGGACTGACTTAATATATAAATTTTTAGCTGGGTTAGTAGAAAAGGGTTTAAAAAATACTGCATTGTACTTACATCAATAGGCAACTCATCCTTTGTCCTAAGACAGTAAGATCTGTTATTCTTTTCATTTGGATGATCATCTTCATCAGATACTGCTGATGAAGATGAAGAGAAGAGTGTAGTTGATGAACTATCTGAATCTGTATCACTATATTAAAAAAAAACATGGGAGTTACAATACTGTCTTCTCACAGTCACTGTTCTTGTAAAATCCCAACATTAGCATAATGCTGAATGAAAGTTAAGAAAATACTTATTCCAAGTAATGCATCTTTAGTCAAGGGGAAAAAATTCTAATTTTTGTAAATAAAATGGATTCATTTCATAATTCATGTCCTGTCCAAATCTCCTGGTAAATATTCACAAAGTAATTCAGTATTTCTCACTGTCACATGTGAAGAGATATTTATTGTCTTAGACTCTCAATATTTCAAGTAGAGTAAGAAACCAGTCCTTATTCATGTCAACATGCTTGTTTTAGCAAAGGTCCAAGTTCTTCAAGGGCTGGTGGAAGAAAAAAATGTGGAACAATTGATCCTAGTAACTGAAGAAATACGAACTTAACACATGAAAATACAATGAGATAAGCAAACTTATGCAAAATAACCTTTCTTACCTGAAGAAAAAAAAAAAAAAAAACAAAAAAAACCCAAAAAAACTTCTTTCGAGATTCTTCTAATACCAGTCTCATTCCCAAGTAAGTGGGTGGCCTTCTATTGCTCCTTTCTTTATTACAACAAATGCTCATAGTAATGACAAGAAATAAGAGTACCTCTCCAAATAAACCTTTTGAAAAGGTCAAATATGGACTTCTTGGAACAATATCAATACAACAGAAAGACAAAAAAATCAGACTAGGATACCGACCAGTGAAGAAAGTTAAAAACAAAACAAAGACTGAGATATATGCAAAACAGATAAGTTGTAGTTATTAAAATTTCATCTTTAATGTTTATCAGCACAAGAGATTTTGAAAGTAAAAAACACTACACATGGGTGAAGCCCCTGAAGTCAGGAATTTCACTATCACTTTATGATATTCAAGGAAACTTTGAACCAACAAAAGTACTTCTGAAGTCAAACTTTAATCAATTAACTCTTAATGAAGCTTGGTATCTTTAAGAGAAGATTCTTAGACTTTATTTTAGCCTTCTCTAGTCAAAAGAAGTGCATGGCCATCCTGCTGTACCAGCCAAATAAGAAAACACAAGACTTACTGCAACAACCGAAGTGTGCAGACTTCTAACACTGCAACAGAGCCCACATTTAACCTTTCACCAACTATACTGAACATCGAAGTAGAGATGCCTCAAGTACAATATGGAACCATATTAAATAAAAAATAAACGAGAATGAGCTTTTCCACTGAGATGCCAATATGGTACGGTGTGCAGACTCGCCACCTTTAGTCCTGCATTCAGGTTTTTCAGCAGTCCTACTGCGGGTGTCCTGCCCCAAAAGCCGCAGGTGCGTTCTGTTGAGGACTACCTCAAGCCAATGGGGCGGGCGCCCCACGCTCTCCAGGCGGCAGCCACCAAACTCATGCCATCGTTACACCCTACACCCTTACAGGCACTGATCTGGAGACCTAATTTAACAGGCTCCCAGACAAATGTAACTGGAAATTACACCTTTGATGGGAAGGAGCAAGCTCCAGAGGGTGAAACAGCGAGACGGGGGAGACACACCGGGCTCTCTGGCGCTCAGCCACAGCCCCAGCGGCCCGCGCCGCCGCCCGAGGCCTCGGGGAGCACGGGGCGAGGCGGGGCTGGACCCACCTGTCCGAGTCCGACGAGGGCACGGCGGCCGCGGGACCGCGGGGCCAGGCGGGCGGCGAGCGCCGCGGGCCCGCGGCCGGGGGCAGAGCGCCTTGGACTTCCCCGGCGCCCTCCGCAGGGCTCTGCACCAGCTCCCGGTCGGCCTGCCGCTGTCCGCCCGGCTGCACGGCCGGGTTCTCCCGCTGCTCCACCTCCTCCAGCTGTCCGCCCGGCTCCACGGCCGGGTTCTCCCGCTGCTCCACTTCTCGCTGCTTGCCTGGCTCCAAAGCCAGGCTCTCCAGCTGCTCCACCACTTCCCGCTGCCGGCCCGGCCCCACAGCCGGATTCTCCAGCTGCTCCATCATCTCCCGCTCCCGACCCGGCCCCATAGCCGGGTTCTCTACCTGCTCCGCCACTTCCCGCTGCCCGCCTGGCTCCATGGCCAGGTTCTCCAGCTGCTCCACCATCTCTCGCTGCCCTCCCGGCCCCACACCCGGGTTCTCCAGCTGCTCTAGCACTTCCTGCTGGCAGCCCAGCTCCACGGCCGGGTTCTCCAGCTGCTCCACCACTTCCCGCTCCACCGTCTCGGGCTGCCCGCCCGGCTCCACGGCCGGGTTCTCCAGCCGCCCCTCCATTCCCGCGCCACGCGCCCCGCGTCACCGCCCCCGGCGCGCGCCACTTCCGGCCGCCGCGAGCCGCCCCCGTGCGCGTGCGCCGAAGCGAGGCGGGCCCGGGCCAGTCCCGGGGCGGCTCCGGGCGGGGGGAGCTCCGCGGCCGGCCTTGGTGTCTGTGGCGGCTGAGTGAGACACAGAGCTAGAGCTGCTCTTACTGTGAACCTGCTGGGAGGGGTTCTGTGCTGACAACACACAGAGTCATGTAGTTAAAACTAAAGCTAAAACAAAAAAAAACCAAAAACAACAACAAAAAAAAGCTGTAGAATACCAAATTACTGTACTAATAGTAGTTTGTAGTACATTGACGTAGTGACTCCATACTGATGGTGACTGTACAATAATGCCAAGCTCTCCAAAAAAAATCTGTGTTCTTGTTCACCATAAATACTTACGGCTTTGGAGCTTTAGGTTTTCTGAGGTGTCTGTCTCACGCAGCTCCGTGGGGATGGGAAGGACTCTTGGCATCTCAGGATGTGGCACACGGTTCCCATAGGAGGGAACCGACTCAGGTCCCTCCTGACTGCTCTGTGTGGTTGGTGTCACACAGATAAAGCTTTTCCTCACAAGGGAACACAGCAGAAAAAGCACTACGTTTTCTCTATAGTGCAATTAATCCTTGGGAAATGCCAAAAGATGTTCTAAAGGCACACAGCATCAGGAGATCACTGTTAGGGTGACAAGTCCCTTTAACCCAGCCTCTAAAGTGTACTTTGACAACTGCGCTCCTGGGCCAGCGCTGTGTGTCCCTGACCACACCACACTGTCCCTTGGACCGGATTCCAAATGGGCTTCATTACCAGGCAACAGAGTACAGCATAGGCCCCAGGAGAATAAGTAGATAAAAACAGATAAATACTTGAAAAAGTTGCATGTGATAATGCTGGAAGTGCCAGAGGAGACTGGGACTTGAATATCTGATGAGAGCAGAGAATGATACGTTTTCCATGTAATGACCTTCTCCTCCAGGGCTGTGTGCCCCACAGCTCAAATGGCGCCCAAAACATTTTATTCTTGTCCAGAATGGCAAGGCTACATTGAGCCCACTGTCACAAGAGTGCTTCACTAATAACCAACACAGGCTGAAGGGAGCATCTGATGACAGAAGATTTGTTCTCTGGTTGTTCCACTCTTCATTATGACATAACAGAAGCAACCAGCAGATTTTTATTTAGTAGGAAAGTCATGCATGTCCAAGTTTGTATATAATTTAATTCAACAGTACTTTTTTTCAGTTGTCTACAATTATGTATAGGTCAAGCAGAACAGGTATGTTATGAGCATTTGATAGTTTTGCACGGTCATAGGCAAGGAGCCTGTATGAGCTGTACGTTTATACAGCAGCAGTAAACTCTCACTGCACAATTACTCAGAACACCTAGGGTAGGAATCATCTCCACCTTCAGTGACAGCACTGGGATCTTGAGATGAGTGTACGTGGGAAGCATGTTCTGAATATTACTGACCTGTACTGCAAGCTCTTTAACAAAAGAGAGCTTTAGAAAATCATGCAATTAAATGTCAACAACAATTAATTGTCAATTGCTTGGAGATTAAATATTGAACAATTATAAAAATGGTTTCTATTGAATCTCACTGGCAAATATATTTTAATCCCTAAGAAAGTGACAGAAATGAAATATGTATCCAATTAAACAATGAATAGATGCAGAATCCCGCTAAAATCAAATTCTGCAAAACCAGGTTTCATTTTAAAACTAAGCAAAGACAGTTTATTATTAGACTGGGATTTCTTTTTTAATTTATTCATTTGTTTTGTCAGATGTATCTGAAATAGACTATAATACAAGATTTGTGTGTTTGTGTGAAAAAGTTGATCAGTGTGACTGGGAAGGAAATAATTTCACCAAAGCAGACAAAGCCCTTTCATCAGCCAAAGCCTTTCCTAAAAAAGGTAAAATAATTAATGCCATAATGTATGAAGGAATTAATTGAATTAAAATTAATTTTATTTATTTGTTATCACACATTGCTTGGAAATGTGAAAATATATTCAGGTCTTTATGTTGCATTTATGTAAGTAAAATTCTTCATCTGTCTTATGAATCATGTCTTTCCTGCTTTTTAAAGTATTTTAGTAAGTGATTTATAGCTTTACTCTGGCACATAGATTGTGTTATGACAGTTTCCTCTGTGTTTGTGCAGAACTGGCAGCATCTTTCAGACAAGAAAGATACTTTATTTCATCTGAATGCTGCCACTTATCCCCCTTAACATATAAAATAGCATTGCTCTTAGAATGAAGATATTGAGAGGTTTAATGCAGAGTAAACATCGTCATCCACTCAGCAAAGGCATGCAGTAAATAATCTGCAACGTAACAGCATGAGCAAAGAGATGTTCTAGGAAAAGAAACATTTCAGAGATGAACACTTGAATCACAGTAGTTCCAACGCATGTTTTCAAGGTCTGAGCAGTTAAGAAATGTCACTGCTAGGACTGGAATCTGACATCATCTGTCAAGGCTGGGATAAAAGGTACTGTAAGCTCTGTTTTCTGCCTCCAATCTTTGATGAAGCTCTCTGGAGGTGTTGTTTCCTACATTTATTTCTTCATTCTTGCTGCTAAGATGGGTGTGCATAATTGTTCCCATTGCACTTTTAAAGCTAAAGTGATGGAACTCAAACTATTATTACAATGTTTTATTGCAATGCTTTGGATGCAATAAAGGAGTCTGTTGGAAGAAATAGTTTCATCGTCATATCTGTCCTGGACTGGAATATAGAAAACAGGTTGGAGATTTCAGTGTCCTGCTTATTATGTCTTGGGAAGAAAAGGTACGAATAAGAAAGGAAGTAATGTTTCTTTATATATTTTAAAACACTATTCACTGTGATCTTTATAATTTATATATTTTATGCTTCCATATGTGAATGACTATACACAGTGATATCACTATATCACTATATCACTATATCACTGTACTGTAAGTAGTATAAGCAGCTGGTAAGCCTGCTTGATATATTTTTTTGATATCAATAAAGCTTCCAATGCTGTCTCTCATAGGATCCCTCTGGATTAAATGTCCAGCACACACTTGGATAAACGTCATACAAAGGGTGAGCAGCTGCCTCGCGAATTGGCTGCAAAGGTTCATCGTGAACGGGGTGACATCAGACTGGCAGCCTGTCACGGAAGGGGTTCTTCAGGCTTCCATTGTAGGGTCAGTGGCCTTCAGTGTCTGCATAGACAACTTGGGCACAGGACTCTAAGGGCTCTTAAGTTTGCCTGTGGGAGCAACCATTGACTCCCTCAAAGTCAGAGAGGTCCTGCAGAGATGCAGACAAATTAGAGGGCTGGGTAATCACCAACTGTATGAAGATTAAGGAACACAAGTTTTGGATTCTCCACCTGGGATAGGAAAATCCTATATTTATGTGCAAACTGGGGAACAACAGGCTGGAGAGCAGCACTATGGAAAGGGATCTGGTGGTCTGGGTCAATGTCAAGCTGAACATGAGTGATTGTGCCCTGGCAGCCAGGAGGGCCAGCCCTGTCCTAGGGGACATCAGGCACAGCATCACCATCCAGGAAAGGAGGGGATTGTCCCACTCTGTTCTGCACTGGAGCAGCCTCACCTTGAGTGCTGGGGGCAGTTTTGGGCACCACAATATAAGAAGGGTATAAACTGGAGAGCATCCAAAGGAGGGCAGTGAAGATGGTGGAGAGTCTGGAGGTGAAGCTGTGTGAGGAGCAGCTGAGGTCACTTGGTCTGTTCTGCCTGAAGGAGACTGAGAGGAGACCTCATAATGGTCTACAGCTTCCTCACAAGCAGAAGGCAGAGGGGCAGGCACTGATCTCTTCTCTGTGGTGACCAGTGACAGGATCCAAAGGAATGACATGAAGCTGTGTCAGGAGAGGTTTAGGTTGGATATTAGGGAGAGTTTCCTCTCCCCAAGGGTGGTTGGGCACTGGAGCAGGCTCCCAGGGAAGTGGTCACAGCACCAGTTGGCAGAGTTTAAGAAGCATTTAGACAATGGTCTCGAGCAAATATGTGACTCTTGGGGTGTCCTGTGCAGGGCCAGGAGTTGAATTTGATGATCCTTGTGGGTTTCTTCCAACTCAGGTTGTTTTGTGATTCTGCAAGCTTCTAGAGTGGCATGGAAGAGGAAAGGGAGTTGTCCCACAACAATAGGGAAATCATGAGCTTAAATTTCCAACAGTTTTGAAGCTACTGCTCTGATCCCAGAGCCTTTTTTTTCACTCTGCCTGAACTATTAGAAGCTAAGGTATTCATGGTCAGGAACAGTGGGAGGGAAAAGAAATCAGATCAACAGAATTTTCTGTGTCCCTATTGCTAGTCATATTTCATTCTACCCAGATGAATCAATATTGTAGCTTGCACAGCTGAGATATCTAGTACAGAAATGAGATTAAAATAGCTACGGTACAGAATGTTTTACTCATTTCAAAGCTTAAAATTATTGTACAGAGTTAAATTGCACAAATTTCTTAGTTCTTTTTTCATATAAAGAGTTGGGCAGTTTATAACTAGATAAAAAAATTGAACTTCGAAGGATTTTTTTTTCCCCAAAATACATTTTTAAATATGGAAAAAATGTACAATTTTATTTACCATATTCTTATTGTTGTTTATTTTTCCAAATATAGCCAGTAATCTTTCCATGACTGAGCTGCCCACAACCAATTTCAACAGTAGCATTCCAAATCCTTTCACAGACCAATGGACAAGTTCACCTCCAATTATTCTAAGAGTTTGTACAGTTTGTTTGTCAATGACATCTATTTATAATTGGAGTCTACTGCATTCTTTTTCTACTTTATTTCACTCATAATTTTGAATTATACTAATATAACCATAATTTAATTCGTTACAAAACCAACTGGATCCAGGCTGCATCTATAAATGTGATTTATTCTTGTATGTATAAACAGCTCTGAAATTTCAACTGTCAGCATAGTCGGTGTATTGGAATTTGTAGGGACTCACATTTGGGCAGA